GCACGGTGGAGTAGCGATCACGTACGGCCTGATGAGGAGGACTGCGGGATGCATAATTTACATCCCCTCTAGGCAAGGCTTTTAAGCACATTTTTAGCCAGAGGATATAAAAGCGGAGCAGCTGTTTGAGGGGGGCTGGAATTGTCAGAAGGGGGAAAATCTTGGGGCTTGTGCGAGTGCAAGTGAAGAAAAGTGTGTGTTACACAGCAGAAGTTCCAACCGTGCACAACCGTTTTCTCTTTTCGTTGAGTGTGGAAATGACCCAGTTCGACCGATTTTTTAAAAAAAAAAAATCAGCAAGGGAGAGGAATAGAAACCATCGCCTATCCAGGTTGTTCAATTTCACAGCTACTAAGATTGTTGGCAGAGTAGGGACAAAAACAGTCAGGGAAATGATTGAAGCCTGGGGAACAGCCCCCCTCCACCCCTCCACCTTATCAGTCAACAGGAGTGCTGACTTACCCCCAGGTACTCAGGAGTCCCAAAAAACATTTCCAGATAACTGGACTTCAACCCTTGGATTTTCCCAGCCTGAGTGGGTCCCCTGTTTGGCTAGGATTGAATCACCAAAGATAGGCCAAGTTTTTCTGCAGCAAGGTTCTGCCACAACAGCTCAGTGGAACTTGGAAGGCCAGAGACCTTTGACTATCCAATCCTGGCCAAACACAGGATGAAGGTTACTTTCATAGCCAGCCAAGTGGATCCTGAGAAGCAAGGCTGATTTGATTTTCCAGGTTTTCTCCCGCTGCAGCAGGGAATCTGCATGGCGTGGCCAACTGTGAGCCTCCGTGGGGCAGGTGATAAAGGGAAGACAAATCTAGTTGGTTATTGAACAGGATGTTGGTTTATTGCCCTCCTGTGAGCGGTGCCGTTCTTTGACTGGCCTCTAGAGGGCTCTGCCGCTTCTGATCACACCTGATACAGTTTCAAGACTTGCCATTAAGTTGGCTTTCCCCAAATGGGCTCCCCCCCTTCCCCATCCCAGATGTACTGGATCACAACAACTGGAGGGCCTCGTCCTGTTTTAAGAGGACCAGCCTGTCCCGAGATGACTAGATCTGGATTTTGCTGTTCTCTTGGCTTTGGACTTCCACCTAAAGCTCTCTGCTCTCCTCTCTTATCCTCTTCTCTTCATTCTCTTCCTTTTCACTTCTCTCCACTTTTCCCTTTCTCTCTTCTCTTCTCTTCTCTGCTCTGCTCTTCTCATTCTTATCCTTTTCACTTCTCTCCACTTTTCCCTTTCTTCTCTTCTTCTCTTCTCCTCTCCTCTCTTCTCATTCTCTTCCTTTTCTCTTCTCTCCACTTTTCCCTTTCTCTTCTCTTCTCCTCTCCTCTCTTCTCATTCTCTTCCTTTTCTCTTCTCCACTTTTCCCTCTCTTCTCTTCTCTTCTCTTCTCTTCTCCTTTCCTCTCTTCTCATTCTCTTCCTTTTCTCTTCTTTCCACTTTTCCCTCTCTTCTCTTCTCTTCTCTTTCTTCTCTTCCTTTTTTTTCTCTTCACTCTTCCATTTTCCTCTTCTTTTCTCTTTCTCTTCCCTTTCTCTTCTTTTTCTTTTCTCTATTTCATTTCCCTCTTCTCCTCCCCTCATCTTCCTTTCCTCTTTTCTCTCCTCTTCCCTTCTCTCTCCTCTTCCCTTCTCTTCCCTTCTCTCCTCTCCTCTCCTCTTCCCTTCCCTTCCCTTCTTCTATCTCTCTCTCTCCCTCTCTCTTACCTCCTCCACCCCGGCTCCTTGCAGGAGATTGCCTGGATAACAGCGTGGCCTCCCCCAGCACGGGAGAAGACGACGACCTGGACCGGGAGAAGAAAAGAAACAAGAAACGTGGCATTTTCCCCAAGGTGGCCACGAATATCATGCGCGCCTGGCTTTTTCAACACTTGTCGGTAAGAACCCAAAAGGTGCTTGTGGTCCGAAGTCCAGCCGGCGGGTCCAACCCTGGAGAGCCTTGCTGGGCACTGGGGGGGAGGCTAAGCGGAGACATCCATCCATGCCCACCACCCAACCGGCTTCCTTCCGCTTTGCTGTCTGCCAGGCAATTAGATAGTGCCTCTCCCTGGTTAGTTAAACAAAGGCAAGTTAATGAGCGCTGGCCAATTAGTGGCTAATTGAAGGAGCTATAAAGCTATTAGAGGCTGGTGAAGGGTAATCAATTCTGGCCAATTATCCTGAACGCATTGGCAGGGAGGGGAAGGGGGACGCTACGGGGAAGGGAGGAGAGGCCGGATCAGGCCTCCCACTGCCCTGCCAGAGGCATCCATTAATTCTTTTTTTTAAATTATTGCTATGTTACAGAGAGTCCTCAACTTACAACCGTTTGTTTATCGACCAGCTCTCTATGGAGATTCCCAATCATCCGGTTCAACAGTTGTCCCAAAGGTGCTTCCACCCCCCAAAAAAAGGCAACTGGACTGGACTTTCTTGGGGATTTTTTTGTTTTTTAAATTTGAAAAGGTTTCGCTTCTCATCCTCTTCCGTTCTGGCGGCTCTAACTAACGTCCGTTAGAACCGAAGAAGCTTCTAGCTTGAGAAGTGAAATGTTTTTCACAGAAAACCTCCCCCCAAGAAAGTCCGGTTGCCTTTTTTGGGGAAAAAAAAAAGCACCTCTGGGATGGTTTAGAGACCATTCAAAGTTATGACACTGGTCCAAACTGGGCCGCTTGGCAATCTGTCATCTATCTATCTATCTATCTATCTATCTATCTATCTATCTATCTATCTATCTAT